GTGGGGCCCTCGTGAACAGGATTTCCTTTAGAAGAAGAGGCGGAGGGTGCCCTTGACCCTTCCACCATGTGAGGGCACAAGGAGAAGCCAGCCGTCTGCAGCCTGACCTCGCTGGCACCTTGACTTTGGACTTGCAGCCTCCAGGACTGTCGTCTCCTCTGAATGCCAGTTCCAGGAGGGCAGGCCTTCCGTCTGGCCTGCTGCTGTCCTCCTAGCACCCAGGACAGCGCCTTGCTCTTCGCACTCAGTAGTTATGACTGAATATGTTGACACTTCTCACTGACCCTCTCACTCCCCCAAAAGTATCACTCTAGGGAGAGGCACACAAACGTGGTTCACACCCTTTCTCTTTCTTCGGAATGATCATCTTTGGACTGAAATCGGCCTGGAAGGAATTGATGAGGATAAAATGCTTAAGGACTGAAATGAGAACCCCAGAGTGGAAAGTCTTTCTCAGCTTGTGGACTAACAACCCTCCCCTTAACCTACAATAGTGGCCACGCCCACAGATGGAAGTTACCAGTCTGCTGCCGACCGGCAGCCCGCACATGATCATACGGTCCCCAGGACACCAGTAGATCGTATGCAAATACCGTTTGCATATTCATCAAGCTACCAAATGGACAGTGTAAGCTGCTTTAATTATCTTAAGAAGCAGCAGCCGCCTCTGGCACACGCACTCGGCTGCCTCTGCTAGCAGCCGACCTGGAAATTATTTCAGAAGGCAGACATTAAAGAGGAGTGGGATCTCTTCTGTTCTGCCCTCTGCTCAGCAATTAGAAGTTGCCAGGCTGATTCTGGACTTTCATTTCTGACTCATACTTTTAGACTTGGACATATTTCAGCTATAAAATTAATGAGTGTGACTCCTGAGGTAAAAATAATGAACAAGCTAAATTGCATTTTATGAAAATACAAAAATCCCATGAAGCATTCCCAAAGAAGTTATGTTGGTTTAATGATTAAGCAATAGGGAACATGGAATAAGAATTTGATTCAGGTAATTGACCTTATTTTTTTTGCATTTTGTGCTTAGAGTTAGGGAGTCACTTTTCTCCCAGGGATATCAATGGCATTAATAAATAAATTGTTGTTTATACAAGCTCTGGGCTTTTAGAGGCCAGTATATAATTTTTTCATTCATAAAATGAGTGGGTTTTGTTAACCTAACCTGAGGTTAGATAATCCTCATTTGAGGATGAATGCATGTATGTGTATGTGTATATGTGTGTGTGTGTGTGTGTATATATATTCATATTCCCATTGCTTTTCAGAGTAATTATTGACAAGAAATTTAAAGCTGCTATTATAACCACGTTCAAGGATTTAGAGGGAAAAGAAGTAGAGGCAAGCTGATGTGGCTCAGTGGTTGAGCATTGATCTATGAATTAGGAGATCACCATTTCATTCCTGGTCAGGGCACATGACTAGGTTGTGGGCTTAATCTCCAATAGGGGCACGCAGGAGCAGCTGATCAATGAGAGAGTCTTAGAAACATTAACAATGAGAGAGAATCATTGGTTGACTGCCTCCTGCCTATTCCCCACTGGGGATCAAGCATGTGCCCTGATTGGGAATCGAACTGTGACCTCCTGGTTCATAGGTTGACATTCAACCACTGAGTCATACTGGCTGGGGTTATGCTTTCATTTAAAAGTATCTAATATGAAAAATTCACTGGATAGGCTTAAAAAATATTGGAAATAGCAGAAGCAAGGGTGGTGAACTTGAAGGACCAACAGACATCCTACAGAAGTAAAGATTGAAATAATAAACAGGCCTCAGTAACTTAAGGGATAATAAATTTCCCCAAATTTGGTGAAAGACAGATCAACTTATAGGTCCTAGAAAATCAGCAAACCTTAACCTGAATAAATACAGAGAGAACTAGATCTAGGAATACAATAATCAAATTGCTGAAAACCAGTGGTAAAGAGAAAATCTTCAAAGAATCCAGGGGAAAAAGGACATTACATAGAAAATTCCCATAAGAATTACTGCTGACCTTCAAGGAAGGCCAGAGGCAATGAATGGCATCTTTAAAGAGCCGAAAGGAAAATAACTGTCAACCAAGACTTCTATGTCCAGTTAAACTAGTCTTCAAACATGAAAGTGAAACAAGGAAATGACCCAGTTGGAGAGCTGGCTCTTTCTTTAGGGGGGAAAAGTCCTAGAAATGATAAAATTGAGTAAAATGTAAAAACTACATATTTATTTTTTCTCATTTCACCAAAAGACAACAGACAAAAGTAAATTGATAAGGTTATATTGTGGGTTTTATTTTATATATATTATTCTATATAATAAAACCCTAATATGCAAGTCAGCTGAATGGTGGAACCACCGGTTGCTGTGATGCGCCCTGACCACCAGGGGGCAGATACTCAATACAGGAGCTCAGTATCACCTCACTGGTTGCCCTGCAAATTGGTCTTGATAGCAGGCCAGGGATCCTACACATGCATGAATTTTGTGCACTGGATCTTTAGTATATATATCAAAATAGCACAAAAGAGGGAGATAATATAATTACATTGTTGCAAGTTTCTTATGTTTTTGGATAGGTGCACCATGCTAACTATAAGTAGCCCATGATATATATGCATATTATAAACATTAGATTGAAAAGGATGAAAGAATACTAAAAACTTCAGTTAAGAAGGCAGGAAAGGAATGAAAAACAGCAAATAGAAAACCGGTACGAGCAACAACGTGAAGCTCAAAACTCGAGTTAGTGAAAAAGCCAAGCACTGAAAAATACATGTTGCATTGATTTTTAGCAATAAAAAGTTCATGACCAGGCAAAACTGTGGTGATAGAAATCAGAGCAGTACTTGTGTATGAGGGATGGGGCCTAGTGCCCTGGTCGGCAAACTGCTGCTCGAGAGCCACATGTGGCTCTTTGGCCCTTTGAGGGTGGCTCTTCCACAAAGAATCCAGGGGAAGCCTGGGCGAGTCTATGTTGAAGAAGTGGCGTTAGAAGAAGTTTAAGTTTTAAAAATGTGGCTCTCCAAAGAAATTTCAATTGTGCTGTTGATATTTGGCTCTGTGGACTAATGAGTTTGCCGACCACTGGCCTACGAAGAGAGAAATTTCTGGAGTGGTGGAAATTTACACTTCCATGGAGGCTGTGGATTAACTGGGAGCATACCTTTATAAGAATCACACAATTGTACGCTTAACATTTATGCATTTCTCTGTAAATTTTACATCCACTTTTTAAAATCAAATCAAAACTCTCTTGCGGGGCCTGCGACTGTGAACTTGATCAGCAGAGGGCGCTCCGAGCTCACCAAACACGTTTTAGGAATGCAAATCAGACAAGCTGTGGGCCTCGGTCTCCAACGCAGCTAGCTCACCCTGGACACCCCATCTTCCCCGACCAGGGCACCCCATCTCCCTCAACCCGGGCAGTCCATCTCCCTCAACCCGGGAGTGCGTGTTGCCTGGCCATGCGCTGCTTTTGGGCTGATGAGCAGCGCGCAGATAACGGCGACGCTGTTTCCCGCCACTTCTCCCGGGGAGTGCGGATGCGGGTGGGACCTGGCGTGGGCGGCCTGGAGGTGTACCTGCCCTCCTCCCCCTTGAACCCCAGGTCTCTTGATATGATCGCTTTTCCATTGGAAGTAGGAGCGGAAAGGAAACTTCCGCACAGACCTGGGCATCTTCATTTTGCCCCCCTGTCCTCGCTTTGGTGACTGAGATTCCCACGCGAGGGCTGCGGAGGGCGGGAGGGCGGGTGGATGGCGGCGCGAGGGGGGCAGCGTGTGTGTGTGTGTGTGTGTGTGTGTGTGTTTGGGGGGCGTTGCCCGGGCTCCAGGCTCCAGCACCCCGGGATGCAGTCTTCCTGCCCCTCCTGGCACAGAAGGAAGCCGGGGACAGGAAGGCACCCAACACCCTCTGCGCCCTCCCTCGCCCGCCCCCGGGCCGGGTCTCCGGGCGCCCAGATGCCGGTGCACCCCACGTGGTCCCCACCCGGGCCGGCCCTCCGGAGGCGCCGGCGGTGTTAATGGAAGGTCACCCCAGCTGCCCCGCGGCTCCGGGGATGGAAAATGACGCCCCGGGGCGGCCACGTGCGGAGCGGCCGGGCTGCTCCCCGCGCTCCGGGCGCCGCGCCTCGGGGTGGAGGGAGGGGGTCCGCGAAGGGGCGATGCCCGGCGCTCCGGGACCCCGCGAGCCCCCGGGAAGCCGTGGAAGGACGGCTGCCGGAGGCCCGCCCGGCCAGGCGAGGCCGAGTCCAGCTCGCACACGCCCCTCCCCGGGCCCGCGCGGCTGCAGCAGCGCGGCGCTGCCTCAGTTTCCCCGCCCGCGCTGCCTCCTCGGTCCTGGGCTCGCCTGCCCCGGCGGCGCCGGGCGCCCGGGCACCTCGCAGACAGCGGCCGGGCGGGTGGGGCCCCGGCCTCGGGCCCTCGGGCTGGGCGGGTGCCCTCGGGAAGGGCCTGATGCCGGCGGGGGGTCGGGGTCTGCAGGGGAGGGTCCGGGAGAACAAAGGGCGGGGGGGTGGGGACCGGTGTGTGACAGCCCCGCTCCCCGGCCTCCCAGGCAGAGCGCCCGCAGCCTCCCCGGGGAGAGAGGGAACTGGGGGCGGGGGCGGCGCGGGCGCATTTGGGTGCAGCCCCCCGGCCCCGGCGCGCGCGGCGGGTCCATCGAGCCCCGGACGCAGCGGCTCGCCGGCACCTTCCCCGCCGGGAGCCTGGAGCCGGGAGCCGGGTTCACGCCCCCTCCTCCCCTATCTCCCCCCCGGCCCCGCCGGCTCCGGCCTCCGGCCTAACGTGGAGCCGGGCCGGGCGCCGGGTCCCCGCCCCGCGCTGCGCCCGGAGCCCCGAGCGCGGAGCCCGGAGCGCGGCCGCCGGCGCCGGGAGCCCGCGGCCGCCCCTCCCGCCCGCCCGGCCCGGCCTCCGCGGCTGTCAGCGGCGGCGGCGCATATTGGCTCCGGCGCCCAGGCTCCTCCCCGCGCCGCATCCTTATATTTTGGGGGAATTTCTGGGAACTCAGTCACACCGAGCGGCGGCGGCGCGCGCCCGCACCGGCTCCCCGCGGGGGCTCGCCCAGTTCGGCGGCGGCGGCGGCGGCGGCGGCCACGTGCCCGGCCGGAGGCTCCGCTCCCGGCGGCCGCGGGGACCCCGGGGCTCCGGGTCCGAGGCGGCGGCGGCGGCGGCGGCGGAGGCCGTGTGGCCAGAGCCGGAGCGGGATGCGGGGGAGCCGCGTGTGAAGAAAGGACCCGCCTGCAGACCGGCGCGATCGCCCCCGGGCCCGTCTGCCCTGACGCCCCCTCCCCGCCCCCATCGGGGCCTGGACTCGGGGACCGGAGGACGGCCCCCCGGCCCCGCCCCGGGGACCCTCCGGGCCCAGGACGGCGTGGATGTAGCCGCGGCCCGCGCGCCTCCTCCGGAGCAGCCACCATGCACTCGGTCGCCGGGAATAAAGAGCGGCTCGCCGTGTCCTCCCGGGGCAAGAAATACGCGGTGAGTGGGGACGGGGCGGCCGGGGTCCCCCTTTCCCGGAGCCGGGGTCCCCCTACCCGGGAGCGGCTCCGGCTCCGGGTCCGAGGGCCGCCGCCGGGTGCTTGCGCGGGGGAGGCGGGTCTGTCGCGGGGACCCTCAGCCCTCGCTCCCCCTGCCCCTGCCCCTGCCCCGCACCCTCCAACTTCCGCGGCATTCCTGCACGGAAACGGGGGGCCGAGCCGCGCGGGAGGCTTTCCACGCCTTCCCCGCGGCTCCTCGGGGTCCTCTCCAGGCGCCTGCAGGCTCCAGGCTCCGGAGGCTGCGCCCCGAATGCATGAATGAATGAACGAATGAATGAACGAATGAATGAATGAGGTCGCGGCCCCCGCCCCCTCCGGATAGCGGCTCCCCGGATCCTGAGCCCGGGCTCTTGCTGGGGGGGGAGGAGGGGTCGGGGTGTTGTCGGGTCCAAAAGCGCCGAGCTCTGAGTCTCGGGGTCCCCCCTCTGCAGGAACGGCGGAGGCCCCCTCCCCACCCCCCGCAGCGAGCCCATTCCCCCGCCGCCCGCGCCCGGGGGCGGCGCTGGGAGCCCCGGGCGGGGGGACCCCCTTAGGCGCGCGGAGGCCGCGGGGTGACCGCGGGGCGCGGTCCCGGGGGCCGGGGGAGACTCGGTACGGGGGCCGAAGGGAGCTCGGTCCCGGGGGGCGGTCTTGAGGGACTCGGTCTCGGAGGGCGTGGGGGGCTCGGTCCCGGGGTTTTGGGGGGCTCGGTCCGGGGGGCGGGGGCTCGGTCCGGGGGGGCTTGGCCCGCGGGGCCTCCGTCCGGGAGGGCTCGGAGGCTCTGTCCCGGGTTTGGGTGGGCTCGGTCCGGGGGGCGGAGGCTCGGTCCGGGGGGGGGGGCTCGGTCCCGGGTTTGAGTGGGTTTGGTCCGGGGGGGGCTCGGTCCCGGGTTTGGGTGGGCTCTGTCCGGGGGGGCTCGGTCCCGGGGTTTGGGGGGGGCTCGGTCCCGGGGGCGGGAGGCTCGGTCCGGGGGGGCTCGGTCCCGGGATTTGGGGGGCTCGGTCCCTGGGGGCGGGGTCTCGGGCCCGGTTGGGGCCCTCTGACCGGCCTGTCTCCCGCAGGTGGAGGAGGCCTGCTCGCCGCCCCGGGCCGCGCTGAGCGCGGAGACCTGGTACCGCCGCGCCTACGAGGAGTCGCGCGCGGGCGGCCGGCCGCCCCCCGAGGGCGCGGGCTCGGCGCTCGGCTCGTCGGGGACGCCGTCCCCGGGCTCCGGCACCTCGTCGCCCGGCTCCTTCGCCGGCTCCCCGGGCCCCGCCTCCCCGGGCATCGGCACCAGCTCGCCGGGCTCCCTGGGCGGCTCGCCCGGCTTCGGCACCGGCTCCCCGGGCTCCGGCAGCGGCGGCGGCTCGTCCCCGGGCTCGGACCGCGGCGTCTGGTGCGAGAACTGCCACGCCCGCCTGGCGGCGCTCAAGAGGCAGGCGCTGCAGCTGCTGCTCCCCGGGCCCGGGCCGGGCGCCGGCAAGGTGAGCGCGGGGCGGGCGGGGCGGGGGGCCGAACCCCGAACCCCGCACCCCGCACCCGGCGCCGGCCCTCCCTCCGCGGCCACTGCGCGCCGGGCCGCGGCCGAGGAGCCTGGCGGCGGGGGTGGGGGTGGGGGTGGGGGAGGGGGAGGGGGTGGGGGCGGGGGCAGTCTCGGACCCGGGGCCGCCGTACCGGTGGGGCAGACGCGGGCCGGTGTCGGGGCGACCCCGCCTGTCTCTCCCGTTCGTACCTCGTGGGGCGCGCAGGCTTCTAACGGTTTGGGGTCTCACTGCCCACGGGGGTGGGGGGCTGGGTGGGGGTCAGGTGACTTGTCCTGTGCCCCCCACTGTGGGGAGTCCCTTTGTGATCCCCGCACCTGCCCGCCGTCCTGCTGGACCTGCGCGCCCCGCAAACCTTTGTTGGGGGTTTGGGGGCGCAGGCGGGGGACACTCCCGTGTGCGCTCCGGGGTCTTCCCTTCCGGGGCTGCACCGGGGCTGCCGGCCTTCTTCCAGGTGTTTCTCCCCACCCCCACCCCTCTCACCCCCCACCCTTCCCCCTCACTTCACCCCACCCCTCCCACCCACCCCACCCCACCCAAACCCACCCCTCCCCACCCCACCTCTCTCACCTCCCCACCCTTCCCCCCACTTCACCCCACCTCTCCCACCCACCCCATCCCAACCAAACCCACCCCTCCCCACCCCTCTCACCCCTCTACCCTTCCCCCCCCACTTCACCCCACCCGCCATCCTCCGCAGAAAAGCAAGCGCGGTCCTTCCTCCCTCCCAGAACCACACAAACCCAGGCAGCAGGTCACAAAGGCCAGCATCCCCCCAACATGCACGCCGTCTGGGGGTGCAGGGGGAGAGCACCCCGAGCACCGCCACCCCCTTGGAACACAATGCGATCTCCTCTGCCCGGTGGGTCCCGGGTCCGAGCGCTCCCCAAGGACAATATTGACTCGGGTGCTTCAAAGCGCGCTTATCGGGGCTAAAACATCAGGAACACGGCGGTGCTGACAGGGTTTGCTCAGTGGACGTTTTGGTGACTTGAAACACCGGCTCTGTTTGCCTCCCCTGCTTATCCAAACGCACACACTGAGGGTGCAAACACCACACCCCACCGCGGGCTGTAAAAGCCTAAGCAGGGACCGCCACCGCCCAGAGGACCGGGTTTATGATAATTAACCCGCGGGCTGTTGTCCGTATGCCATGGGGGCAGTTTGGTAAGAAAACCCCCAGAATAGATAAACCTCAGGGATGCTGAGGCTTCCTTCGCCCCGTCACGTTCACGCCGTTTCTCCGCTCACAGATGTGTTTAATTAAGCTCTTGCGATCACGTATCGATGCCCTTTGATCTCCTGGGCATTCAGGCGCCGGGGTAAGCCCACCGTGACATAGCAGGGGCCCCCGGGCCTCGTCCGCGTGGAGCGTGTATCCTAACCGAGGACGTACAGACACGACCCACAACACGCACATCTCCTAACGCACTCTTCTGCCAAGACACGTGTGGGGCGCGGTGAACGCGTACAGATAACCAGCACAGACCGTGGGATCGCTCTGGGAGAACCTTGGCTCTCAAATACCGTGTTTTCCCGAAAATAAGACATCCTCCGAAAATAAGACCTACTTACAGGTTTCCTTCTGAGTGAAATATAAGGCATCCCCCCGAATATAAGGCCCCCCCCAGGCTAAACATGAGAGATTTGGTCCACTGATTCTGAAAGAAATGGAGTCACAAGAAATTCACCAGGAAATTCAGGAATTGGATTGTTATGATGATGTTCCAGAAGATGGTGACATGATTGTCATTGAATAAACGAGTAAATTCTTGATACTGTAGGATTCACAGTTTGTCTGGTTTGTGTTGACAACTACCGTACTACCGTACCGTATACAGGTAATACATCTCCTTTATTTTCATTTAACAATAAATGTGTGCCGTATTCTTCTTCATGGAAAAATAAGACATCCCCTGAAAATAAGACCTAGCGCATCTTATTAATGAGCAAAAATTAATATAAGACACTGTCTTATTTTCGGGGAAACAGGGTAGATAACATCTCCTATTTGGAAAGCCTACTAAGTTGCAGTCTTCCAGGTCATCATTCTAGAACATTCTTGAGGATGCATTTTTTAAAATCTTTATTGTTGAAAATATTACATAGGTCCTCCTCTCTGCCTCCCCCCTATTAACTTCTTCCAGCCTATGCCCATCTCCCCCCCCCCCCCGGGTCCCCCCGCCCTTGTCCGTGCCCCTGGGTGAGGCATGTGTGCACACAAGTTCACTGGTGGATCTTCCTGGCCCCCCTCCCCTGTCTCCCCTCTGAGCCTGCTCCTGCGACTGTAGGACTCACTCCTATAATAGCGTCATGCTTGAGTGCTCTTGTGTGTGCAGAGGGAAATCAAAATACACCCCGCTCACTCACATGGAGGGAGGGGGGGAGGGAAATCGCTGGGAAGAAGAAACAGCTGCTGGGGCCTGGATCCCTCCATCGTGTTCTGTGGAGTCACCTGACGCAGGAGCGCTCTGGTTTGGCTGAGTTAGAAACATCGATGAGAGAGAAACATCGACCAGCTGCCTCCTGCACACCCCCCTACTGGGATTGTGCCCGCAGCCAAGGCACATGCCCTTGACCGGAATCGAACCCGGGACCTCTTAGTCCGCAGGCCGACGCTCTATCCACTGAGCCACACTGGTTTCGGCAGATTTGGTACAATTTTCATCGCACCTTGAAGTTTGCAACCTTCTTCTCTCGAGCCTTCTCTGGAGGCCCATGTAACTCGGAGACCAGACCTCCGCCCCCCCCCCCCCCCCCAAAGCTGGGTTGATGAGCAAACGGGACCCTGGCAGCCCTCAGGCGCGGAGGAGCTGAGTTCATGAGAACACGCGTGTCGTTGTGGCTGCAGCGCGTGGCTCGGCCTCCAGAGCGCGCGTCTGGAAGATACAGGCCTGCTGTGGAGGGGCGATTAGCAGAAACCGTCTTTGTAATTGGCCTAAGATGCTCAGCTGTGTTTGGGGGAACATTTTTCTCGTAAGTAGAGTATTACGTTCTAGGGCCAGGCGTCCTCAAACTTTTTAAAGTGGGGGCCAGATCACGGTCCCTCAGAGAGCTGGAGGGCCGGACTATATGAACTACTAATTCCTACTGTAACACCTCGGCTGCGCTCACTGCCCAAAAAACCTGGCGGGCCGGATCAGACTCCTCTGCGGGCCGCATGTGGCCCGCGGGCCGTAGTTTGAAGACCCCTGTGACTAGGCGGCGGTGGTAGGAGTCTCCGGGGCAGGCCGGACAGCCCTTCCAGAGCCTTGTTATTTCGGGTGGTTTGGGGTTAGGTCTTTCTCCAGCCCAGGTGACCTTGTGACACTGAGTCAGGCGGTTTTCCTGGGTGTGTTTCACGTTCCCACGGACACACTAAGGAAGAAAAGGACTCACAGTTAGAATGTCTAGAAAATTACTTTAGATAAGGTTAGAAAGGTGCTCCCAGCTGAAACCAGTTTGGCTCAGTGGATAGAGTGTCGGCCTGCGGACTGAAGGGTCCCGGGTTCGATTCCGGTCAAGGGCATGTACCTTGGTTGCGGATAAGTCCTCAGTGGGGCGCGTGCAAGAGGCAGCTGATCGATGACTCTCTCTCATCGATGTTTCTAGCTCTCTATCTCTCTCCCTTCCTCTCTTTAAATATTTAAAAAAAATGAAAGAAAGGTGCTCCCATGCTTCAGAGACTGTTAGGCAGGATTCTGGTTGGTCTGTTTATGTCTCATGGAACGTAAGGTCTTTCTTACAAAACATCTGCTTTCAGTCTCATTCCCAATTGTCACACCGGCATACGGTCTCTCGTGCTCGGAGCCCCGGTAGGTATCAGGCTCTGCTGAGTCCCCCCAGTTGTGTCGCTTAGGACAGTTGGTTAAGAAGCTCAGGTGAGCTCAGGCTGGCACGGCTCCGCGGTTGAACATCAACCCATGAACCAGGAGGTCCGGGTTCGATTCCCGGTCAGGGCACATGCCCGGGCTGTGGGCTCGATCTCCAGGGGGCATGCAGGAGGCAGCCGATCCATGATCTCTCTCTCATCATGGATATTTCTATCTTCTCCTCCTTCTCCCTTCCTCTCTGAAATCAATAAACATATATTAAAAAAAAAAGATGGTGAGATGAAGTGCTGGTGGGCCCATGCAGGGGGCCTGGCTGGCCTCGTAGCCAGGTGACCACTCCATGGATGGGGGTGCTGTTAATGGGGGCAGGCAATGGAGGCGGGGGGAGACCCAGATTTGGGGGGAGCTCAGAGCTAATGGATTTGGTGCTGTGCGTTGAGGTTGAGGCAGAGCTAGGAAGACACAGACTCCGGGATGTAGACGGTGACACTGAGAGCTCACATACCCTTAGGAATGCCCCGGTATAAGGCAGCTGGCATTTCAGACGGCAGCTTACCTGGCCGGGCCGGGCCGGGGCCTGGTTGGCGGGAGCCTGTAGAACACTCGGGCTGGTTTCCACCATCTCGGCCGGTGGAAAAGGACTTCCCGGGTAGCACCGTTCTCCTCCGGCACTGGGAAGTGGAAGCGGCGAGAAAAAAAAAACAAAGGAATGTGATTTGCAAAGTGTTGGGATTTTAAGTCAAACAGCCCTCTTCCCCGCGGCCGCGTTTCCATGTGTAAATGTAAAACCGTTTCGTCTCCCCTGGCAAGCGCGCCCTTCCTGTTTGAGACACAGCCGGGGCGCCGCGCCAGGAACGGGGGCCAAGGCGCGGGCCTCCGTTCTGGGCGATTCCAGGATCACTCCATTCTGATACCGACCTGCCGCCGATGGCCCTGCGAAACCTCAGCCCGCAGGAATTCCCCGGAGCCGCAGGAACGCCCCAGCCTGGCCAGAGGTTATCAGACATCTGTGCATTTCCATATCAATAAAAGAAAATCTCCTTTTATGTATATATAAAAAAAAAGGGTCCAGGAAGACATTCCTATCTGATTTGTTCTCAGGCACAGACTCCGGGGCCGTGGCTGCCCCAG